CAGGCTCGATCCAGGGGCGCGCCTGGGAGCACGCATGATCAGTTTATAATATGTTTTGCATAGGATTGTGGAGGGGGCCGTGAAGATCCGCATAGCAGGCTCGATCCAGGGGCGCGCCTGGGAACACGCATGGTCGGTTTATATGATGTTTTGCATGGGATTGTGGAGGGGGCCGTGAAGATCCGCATAGCAGGCTCGATCCAGGGGTGCGCCTGGGGAGAGCTCTGGGGAAGAGCTCTTGGAGGGAAACTCTGGGGGAAAGCTCTGGGGGAGAGCTCTGGGGGAGAGCTCTGGGGGAAAGCTCTGGGCGAGAGCTCTGGGGGAGAGCTCTGGGGCGAGCTCCCGGGGGAGTAGCTCCGGGGGGAGAGCCCTGGGGGAGAGCCCTGGGGGAGAGCTCTGTGGGAGAGCTCTGGGGGAGAGCTCCGGGGGAGAGCTCTGGGGGAGAGCTCTGGGGGAGAGCTCTGGGGGAAAGCTTTGGGGGAGAGCCCCGGGGGGGCGCCCTGGAAGAGAGCTTTGGGGGAGAGCTCTGGGAGAGAGCTCTGGGGGGGGGCTCTGGGGGGAAGCTCTGGGGGGGAGCTCTGGGTGAGATCTCTGGGGGGGAGCTCTGGGGAGAGCTCTGGGAGAGAGCTCTGGGGAGAGCTCTGGGGGAGAGCTCTGGGGGAGAGCTCTGGGGGAGAGCCTCTGGGGGGGAGCTCTGGGGGAGAGCCCTGGGGGAGAGGCGAGCGGTATCGTCGAGCATCCGGCCAAGGGTTAGGGGTTTATCGTGTGCCAGCGAAGCCCGCCTCGAGCCGGCGGGCCTATGGTCGCGGCGAAGCTCGAGTTGCAGCTCGCTCTCACTAGCAGATCCTTACAGGCGTGGCGGTGCGCGCCCCCGGTCCGCGACCTGCAGTTTATGGGTTTAGGGTTTAGGGTTTAGGGTTTAGGGTTTAGGGCTTCTCTTAGCGCAGCGGCCGACAGTCCAGGCAGTGCTGCCCCCCCTTCGGCAAGCTTGATTGGGGGGGCGGTTAGCCGACCCGAGCAAGCTTGGCGAAGGGAGCAGGAGGTGCAACATCTTCCCACCCCCGGCCGCATGGCCGGCAACCTCCCAAACTACAGCCTTTTAGGGTTTAGGGCCGTTGGCCCCTAAATTCCCAAATGCGCTCCCAGGCGCTCCCAGGCGTTCCCAGGCGCTCCCAGGCGCTCCCAAGCGCTCACAGGCGCTCCCAGGCGCTCCCCGGCGCTCCCAGGCGGTTCCAGCGCGTTCCGAAGCGCCCCCAAACGCTCCTAGGCGCTCCCTGGCGCTCCCGGGCGCTCCTAGGCGTTCTCAAGCGCTCCCAAGCGCTTCCAAGCGCTACCAGGCGCTCCCAGGCGCTCCCGGCGCGTGCCCAAGCGCTCCCAGGCGCTTCCTGGCGCTTCCAGGCGCTCCCAGGCGCTCCCAGCACGCCCCCAGGCGCTCCCAGGCGCTCCCAGGAGCTCTCAGACGCTCCCAGGCGCTCCCTGGCGCTCCCAGGCGCTCCCAGGTGCTTCCAGGCGCTCCCAGGTGCTCCGAGGCGCTCCCAGGCGCTCCCAGGCGCTCCCAGGCGTCCCCGGCAGTCAGAAGAAAAGGTCTTTGGGTTTAGGGTGTTATATTCGTTGAGGATCAGGGGAGGTTTATCATTGAAGCGCGAATCCCCAAAAGAGGGGGAGGGCAGCAGCAAAAGCTGCCAAGGCGAACCACTCGGGCTACATGCTCAAGCATCTCAGAGATGCCCTGTCTCTCGTAGACGGCGACGGTGATGCGCGGTGGGGTGGGCAGAAGCACAACGAGGTGCTTGGGAATTTAGGGTTTAGGGCTTAGGGTTTAGGGCTTAGGGTTTAGGGTTTAGGGTTTAGGGTTTTAGGGTTTTTAGGTTTAGGGTTAGGGTTTAGGGTTAGGGTTAGGGTTTAGGGTTAGGGTTAGGGTTTAGGGTTAGGGTTAGGGTTAGGGTTTAGGGTTAGGGTTAGGGTTAGGGTTAGGGTTAGGTTTCAGGGTTTAGGGTTAGGGTTAGGGTGAGGGTTTAGGGTTAGGGTTCGGGTTCGGGTTTAGGGTTAAGGTTTAGGGTTCAGGGTTTAGGGTTAGGGTTAAGGTTTAGGGTTAGGTCATAGGGTTTAGGGTTACGGTTAAGGTTTAGGGTTAGGGTAAGGGCTAGAGTTTAGGGTTAGGGTTAGCGTTAAGGATTAGGGTGTATGGGGTTAGGGTTAGGGTTAGGGTTTAGGGTCAGGGTTTAGGGTGTAAGGTTTTGGGGGTTAGGGTTTAGGGTTAGGGTTAGGGTTTTGGGTTAGGGTTTAGAGTTTAGGGTTAGGGTTTAGGGTTCAGGGTCAGGGTTGGGGTTGAGGTTAGGGTTTAGGGTTAGGGTTAGGGTTTAGGGTTTAGGGTGAGGGGTAGGGTTGAGGTTAGGGATTAGGGTTGAGGGCTAGGGTTAAGGGTTCAGGTTTAGAGCTTAGGTTAGGGCTAGGCTTAGTGTTAGGGTTTGGGGTCAGGGTTAGGTCTACGGTTAGGGTTTAGGCTTCGGGTTAGGGATTAAGGATTAGGGTTCAGGGTTTGGGTTAGAGGTTAGGGGTTCGGGGGGGTCGGGGCGGGGTGGTAGGGATGGGGTTCCGGAGCCGGGGCGCGAGCCGGGGAAAGGGGGGGGGGGGGAGTTCGCCGACGACGGTTCGGGAAAGGGGGGGGGGGGGGGGGCGCCCCGACGGCTCGGGCAAGGAGGGGGGGGGGGGTTCGCCGACGACGGCTGGGCAAGGGGGGGGGGGGGGTTCGCCGACGACGGCTCGGCAAGGGGGGGGGGGGTCTCCAAACTCCGAACCCCCCCCCCCCTTTGGGTGATCCAGCGGCGCGCCCTCGAAATGACCATCTGTAGGGGCTTATGAAGAGGGATCTTGGAGGGGGTCGTTTCTTCCAAAATCGTTGAAGCGTCTTGGGTTTACATTGGTCCTCGTCCTCCTCCTTTCCTCCTCCTCCTCCTCTTCTCTTTCTCCTCCTCCATTCCTTTTCCTGATAACTATTTCGTCCCTGTCGCACCCCGAGGCTGGTCGAAAGGGCGGGCTGGGCGTTTCGCTTGAGGCGTCCTCACCATTCATGACATTGAAGTTCAGAAACTGGCAGCAGCTTCGCAGATGGAGGGGGGATTGCTTCAACATGCGGCTCTAATCACGGCGCCAGGCGCATTCGTTGTAGAAAACTGTAACGAGCTTCGCGGATTGAGGGCGGGCCGTTTTCAACGTGTGGCTCTCGCCCCAGCTCCGCGCACATTCGTTTTACACATTTGCAAACGCTGCACGGATTCAGAGCGGATGGTTTTCAAAATGTGGCTCTCGCCTTGGCGCCGGGCACAGTCGTCGTCAACATTTGCAAGAGCTTCACGGGTTGAGGGCGGGTGGTTTTCAACATGTGGCTCTCGTTTCAGCGCCGCGCACATTTGCTTCACAAAATTGGAAGTGCCTCATGGATTCAGGGCGGTTCTTTTTCAACATGTGGCTCTCGCCTTAGCGCCGCGCGCATTTGTCCTGAGCATTTGCGAACATTTAACGGATCCCCATGGTCAACTTGCCAGAAATCGTGTGTTGGAGGGATTCAGGATTGGGAGGGCGCAGCGGTTACGTTGATTCGTGGTGTTGACGTCACAGGAGTAGCGTTCTGGCATGGTTCAGGATCGTCAGGCCGCAACAGTCATGTTGATTCGTGGCGCTGGAGTCCCGAACATGTTTTTTTTGGCACGCTTCAGGATCTTCAAACGGCTGTTTCCCAACGAGACAGTTCCCTTTTCGTAATGGCCTATGAAGCGGGAGCTTGGAGGGAGGATTTATTCCAACATCGTTGATGGGTCTTGGGCTTCCACTGGGCCTCCTTCTTTTCCTCCTCCTCCTCCTCCTCCTCCTCCTCCCCCTTCCTTCCGTTCCTCTTCGTCTTCTTCTCCTCCTCCTCATCCTTTTCTCCTTCCTTTTCCCTTTCTCTCAAGTCCCATCCCAGCTCAGACTAGCTTTGGTTCAAGAGAGCTAGCTGCCTGCGCCGTGATGCCGTGAGGCTGTACCATACGTGCGCTGGTGCCTGGGCTTGTTATTTCTTAAGTTGTTTCTCATCGGCGAACGCCAGGATATGCTACCTGGGGCGTGCGTGTCCATCTTCGTCTTCGCTGGCGACTTGGCATGCGGCTCGGTCTGTTCATTCTGCAGTGGCTATTGCCGCGATGCCTATGGGCTTCCCCTTATGGGACTTGCGGCACTGGCAGCTGGGGCGACGGCGCGGGCCTTTACGCTTTTGGCATCCGCATCGTCATCGTTCCTTTCTCCGGGTTCTAGGCGGCGTCCTCGAGTGGCTGGGCCTGGCCCAGGCCCGCTTGGGCAAGTAAGGCAGGCGCTCTGTCTTATTCATGTGTTCTGGGTTCTTGGCGGCGTCCTCGTGTGGCTGAGCCTGGCCCAGGCCCGTTTGTTTGGGCAAATCAGGCAGACGCTTTGTCTTATTTATGTGGTTGGGCGTTGCTTCATGTATTCGTTCACCGTTACAGAGATCTAGGAATTGTGAGATGTTTTATCTTCGTCCTTCTCACATCCGATGGGTATTTGCAGTGTGCTCGCGTTTTGCGTGGTGGTTGAGTGATGCCTTCTACCCACACATTCTCATCGGCACTGTCATTAGGTTGCAAGCACTGGGCGGGTCGTAGGGTTTCGGCGTCTTTGTCGCTGTGGTCAGGTGATTCGTCATCTTTATGCTGGTCCGCTGGTGGTGTGCGGCGTTACGCAAGCCTTGGGGCTATCATCGTCATGCGTTATGCACGTGGTGGGCCTCGCAATACCTTGATTTGAGTATTGCGTTGATGGGGGCGTGATGCTGCGTTTTTGCCGCAAGATGCTCTGGGTCTTCCTCGGCGTCTTCGTGGTGCTCGTGCTGACCACGGTCAGAGTTGTTTGGCATTGCTGATGGCAAAATCCCTTTCCCGTTCTCCTCTCTCGAATGCTGTCTTGTCTGGCGACGGGCCCACTACAGTCGTGACCTCTGCGGGCGAGGGGAGGTGCGCCACTCGGAGCCGTGGAAGCAGCTCATGGCCAGAACGGGGCCCACTGAGGGGGACGGGGGCGGGGAGAGGGAGTGTGTGTGTGTGTGTGTGTGTGTGTGTGGAGGGAGGGAGGGAGGGGGGGAGGGAGGGAGGGGGGGGGATAGAGGGCGGGAGGGGCGGAGGAGGAGGAGGAGGCGCAGGAGGGGGAGGAGATTTTCTCGGAGACGCACGCTCACAAGTCGCTTGTCACACGTCCAGGCCCATCCATCGATGCCCCCTTTTGACGCGGCCGCCGCCCCCTTCGATCGCCGCCTCCTCCTCCCCCTTCCCCGCCTGTGAAGGACATGGCGCTTCCACAGCTAAGCGTAGTGTTTGTCAGCGTGGGCCCCAAACAGTGTGTTTTTGCAGTCTGCGCGGTGCAATCTGCGTGGTGCAATCCATGCGATGCAACCTATATAATGCAATATATGCGGTGCGATCTATGTGGTGCAAGTTGTTTTAATAAGCGAGTTGACATCCCATGCTTTTACAAACGTTCCACCCGCCCGCCCGCAACTTGTTTTGCAAAACCCATGCGGTGGCGATTGCGATGCAGGCTTGACGTTGGCTGGTGCATCTCTGCGGCCGCGCCAATTTGAGCACGCGCGCGTAGCGGCCAGCTAGTTTGGCGCGACCGACGCGAACGCGGCGGCGCTGACCGCTCGGCGCATACCAGCGGGCATTTCAGGGCGAGTCATCGACATGAGCTGGCGCGGTATCATGGCAACGTGGACAACGGTAGACACGATGCTGATCGTAGCGATGCTGGTGACGATGCTGACTGCGATGGCGGGGCAGCCAGTGACGGCGCCGATGCTGATCATGCCGACGACGATGACGGGTGCAAAATCATGAGAAGCAAGGACAACTTTTTTACAGGGCTCAGGGTCCCACGGTGTCGAGGCGGTCCTTCTGAGGCAGCAAAGGCTCCGAGGGAAAACCGGGACTAAAGCTCGGCACTTGGGCTCTAGGGTGTGTGTCCGTTTCACGCCGCACGAAGTCCAAATTCGATTCCATGCGGGTCGAACTGCGTGGTTTTCCCTGGGTCGTGTGTGGACGTCTACCATGTCTTTCAAATGGAGGTGCCATCTTTTTGAGGGATACGTTGTAAATTCGTGTCTGTCAGGAACGGTGTGTCTAGCTAAAGGCTCAGCACTTTCGCACCATGCCGATGGGGCCACTATATATTCCATGTTGGCGAAATACTCGCGAGTCTCGTTGAAACAGGGGCGCGGCTGTTTTTAGAGGTGCCAGGTGGGATACGGAGTGTAATATACGAGTGTTGCACGCTGTAGGTTTAGTCCCAATTCATGTCGAGCTTAGAGTACGCAGGTCGATCGGCCCAGTCGGTCGGCCCAGTTTCTTGGAGCTGTGTTCGGGAAGTTCGTGGATCAGGAGTCCGAGCTTTCGCGGGCCTCAAGTGGCTTGGTGGTGAACCCGTGGGCCGAGCAATTTCTTGGGGACAGTTGGGGCGTTGCAGGTTTTCGGCGATGGCGCAGCGATTTTAGAGCGGCGTGAAGCCCCCGCCGACATGATCACTAAGGAGGAGGAGGAGGAGTTAGATGATGATGATGATTATTATTATTTCTACTACGACGACTACTAGTACTACTGCTGTTAATTCTACTATTTCTACTGCTGCTTCTAGTGTGTGGTGCAAGCTATGTGGTGCGCGGCGTCGACGGCGGCGACGGCGGCGGCGACGGTGTGCCGACGGCGACGTCGGCGGCGGCGACGGGCGGCACGGACGGCGATTGCCGCCCCTGGCCCCGAGACGAGCGGCGGCGACGGACGGCCACGGGCGGCACCGCCCGCAGAAGCCGCCCCTGGTCCCGAGAGGGTTGCGCCCAGTAAGAACCCCTGAGTCAAGGGCTCCCCCGAGGGCGCGAAGTTATTCGCGCTTCGCGCTTCGCGGTCCTCGTTCCTCCTCCCCCTCCTCCTCGTCCTCCTTTTCTCCCTTTGGGGGGGCGGCGCGAGAGCGCGAAGTTATTCGCGCTTCGCGCTTCGCGGAGCGCGAAGCGCGAAGTTGGGAGCCCTAGCTGAGTGCAAACACTGTTTGGGGAGTTGAGGATCCTCAGCAGCGCACGTTGCATGTATTGCACGTTCTACGGGCAGAGGCGCGAGCATGAGGTTCAGCATAAGCTTGAGCCGCTTCTGTTGCTATGCCATGTGTGTCTGCGCGTCTGACCAGGGGACATAGCTAACCACGAAACCCGTGGAGACCTCACCATACACGTCAGAGTTGACCTGTGGAGAGACCTCAATGTCCAAGGGCAGATCGGCGCAGTGCTATGTGGACCGCCTTGTGAGAGCTGCAGCTCCGCTCGCTTTCTCCAGGATCCTAGTTGTCAGCGCCCCCCCCGGGACGCTTGGGTCGCGCGAGGCCCCTGGGGACCTCAAGAATTAGCGCCTGCGAAGCGGAACATATTAAGGTAGCTGATGCACCGTTGCGCATTGCCGTAGGGTTTTTCTGCGTATGCCTCAAGCACGCAGTGCCAGCTCATGGAGCACCCAACGATCCCTGAACACATACCCCAAACACCAAGCTCGTGGAGGTTGGGGGAGTTGTCAGTCTTTGCGCGGCAAGGACATGTTACAATTCATACGATCGACCAGTGGATTTTTGGAACCCGAGCACGCCAACTCACCTCGTTGGGTTGTGTTCATTTGCTTGCTATGCAGGATGTCTAACACTCAGTTCCAATCGATGCTACCGTGCTAAAAGCCATCCTCAGATCGCACTTAGAGGCAGAGACGACACAGAGTCTTGGCGCACGACCGCTGCTAAACAGTACCCTCTGCAGTTGTGTGTATCGTGCTTGCACGGTCTATTGCCACGGATATCTTCCGTTGACAACCACGAAGGGCGACCAACCACTTGAGCCAGGAAGGAGATTGGGAGCTGCATGTGACGCTTCAATTACTTTTCTGTTGCTGTTGACCCATATAACTCTTGAGTGCATCTGTGCAGAGACAAGGAACAACCCACTCTCACACGGATTTTCCTGCCCTACCAAAAGTCGCCGTCTCCCCTGAACCATGGCATTGATGCAGCGAACGATCATCTATTTTCGGTCATATATTCTTTCGCACCTGATCAGTGGGATCTTCTGGGTCACAAGTTCTGCGGCGACATGAACATCTGAGGGCTGCGGCCCTTCCCTCTATGGACGCATTCCGGCGCGACGGTGACAGTTCGTTCGTTCGTTCGTTCATAAGCAGCCTTCTCCCTTCCATCCTCCTCCCCCTCTCTCCTGCCTTCGCCCTGTCGCTCGGTCCTGGTGGCGTAGGACGTGTACGTGCACCTCTGAGTCCCACTCCCCTCCTGGGCCGCTCGAGGTTTGGAGCGACCGAGGTGCACTAGGTCACTCCCAACACATTGCACATGCCCAGGCAGTGCTGGGTTTTTAATCAATATCACTACGTGATGGCGGAAGCCCTGGAAATCCTTCGGCCCATCGCCTGCTTCTCCTTTGGGCTGCTCTCGGCGGGGCTCGCGGCTTTCAGGGCCTCGTCCTCCCCTTGTTGTTTCGGCGCTTGGGCCAGCGGCACACTGGCGGCGTCCATTTCGTGACCCCCCCGCTTTTGTCCTCCCAGTCGTATGCAGCATGAGTGCGGGGGTGGGGGCGGAGGACCATGTCCTGTCTCCCCTACTTTTCGCCCTCTCCTGAATCTTGACTTCGAATCCTCACCTTCAGCTAGCGAGCGAGCGAGCGAGGCGGAGGAGGAGGAGGAGGAGGAGGAGGAGGAGGAGGAGGAGGAGGAGGAGGACGAGGAGGAGGAGGAGGAGGAGGAGGAGGAGGAGGAGGAGGGGGAGGAAGAAGACGGGGACGGGGAAGAGGGGGACGGTGAGGAGGAGGAGGAGGAGGAGGAGGAGGAGGAGGAGGAGGAGGAGAGGAGGAGGAGGAGGAGGAGGAGGAGGAGGAGGAGGAGGGGACCTGGGAGGATGAAGAGGAGAAGGATGAGGAAATTGGTGGGTGGATGGGTGGGTGGGTGGGGTGGAGTGGCGTAGGGTTGCGGGTGGGGTGGGGGTGGGGGGATCATGAGGATCATGAGGGGAGCGCGGGGTGAAAAGGAGGAACAGAGAGCAAGATGAGAAATAGGAGGGGGAGACGGAGAGGAATAAGAGGACGAGGAGGGAGGGGAGGAACAGGGATAGGAGGCGGACGTGGGGGATGGAATGCTGAGGGAGATGCGGGGTTCATAATTACAGTATTAGGAGTATGTGAAAAAATGGGGAGAAGTCATGAGAAGGATTACCAGCTGCAGCTTGAACATGACCAGGATGATGCTGTCGTTGGTGACGATGGCGGTGGTGTTGGTGGTGTTGGTGGTGGTTCTGAAGATGACGGTGATGCTGCTGCTGCTGCTGTTGCTGCTGCTGATGATGATGATGATGATGGTGATGAGGATTCCAGTGGGTCTAAGACTATGATGGCGCTGGTGGTGAGGATGATAATGTTGAGGATGAGTGTGAATGCTGATGCTGATGCCGATGTTCGTGATGAGGAGGATTCTGACGAGGATTATGATGAGCATAGGAAATATGAGGAATTGGGGGAAGATTTGGATGATGAGGACGAGGGGGCAACAGGAGGAGGGGGAGGAGGAGGATGAGGAGGAGGAGGGGGAGGAGCAGGAGGATGGGATGGGAAGGAAGGGGAGGAGAAAAAGGACGGGTGGGAGGAGACGGGGGGGGGGGATGAGGAGGGGGGGAGTAAGCAATGTGACCGCGAGTGGTTCTCATGACTGCAGGCGGTGTTGGTTCCGCATGCTCAGAGGCAAAAGTGTGGCTACGACAGTAGATCGCGTCGGCCGTTTGGTCTGTGCGAGGCTCTCGGCCTCAAGGCTTAAAGCCTCGTAGCATACAGTGAAAGCACATGGAAAGGCACCGCCTGCTATCCTGTCTCGGTGTGACAGGTTCCGTTGGGCTGCACGCAGCGTGAACACTGCCACGCGTGGTGAACAAGCCGCAGGTGGCACGTCACCCTTGTTTTGTTTTTTGAGGGGGGGGGGACGCTGGAGCTTTCGGGGGAGACGTGTCAGCCAGGAGGGAGGGGAGCAGGAGGAGGAGGAGGAGGAAGGAGGAGGAGGAGGGAATGGAAGGATGAAGGAAAGGAAAAAAGGAGGAGGAAGGAGGGAGTTGGAGGGGGCGGAGGAGGAGGGAGCGGAGGCATCGCCCCTGGCGAAGCACCCTGTGTACCCGCTCGCGGCGTTCGATGCCTTCCTCGAGACGGGCGACTGTTCGGAGGGCGAGCCGGCGCCGTCGTGGCCGTCGACGCCGTCGACGCCATGCATATATGTGTATAGGAATGTGCAAACTTATTCGCAAATACTTCTGCGTACCTATTTGCATATGCGCATGAACGTGTATACATCTATGTATATAGGAATACGTTTGCATGTGTATATGTATATGTTTATGTATAATTGTATATGCACACCTATGTGGAAATGTGCCTGGAGGTGTACAGGTATGCGTGTATGTACATGTATATGTATGTGACCGCGTACATGTAAAGGTAGCTGCTTATGTATATGTTTTTTTGTATAGGTTCGCGTCATTGTATTTGTATGGTAATATATACTCGTGCGGGTAGGAAATAATGCATGTGTATATGTATGAGCATATGCATGTATACATGTATATGTGTATGCCAATGTATGCGTATTTGTAAGTGTAGCTGTATGTATTTATGGGTGTGTGTATATATATATATATATATATATATATATATATATATATATCCCCGTGTACGAGGCCCGGGGGCCAGGGACCGCGACCTCGACAGCGCATGGAGGGACGGGGCGTCGTTTTCCCTATGTGTTTTTACAGGGTTTCGGCGACCCGGGGCCAACAGGGTCCCCAGAGGCTGCAGGGAGGCCCCAGGAGGCCGCAGCGATGGCTCCAGACGCCTTTCAAGACGACTCCCAGGACGCCAAGACGGCCCCCGAAGGCCCCGAAGACGCCCCAAGAGGCATCCCGAGAGAGGCCCAATAAGCAAAAATCGTCGATTTCCTCGGGGGGAACTTTGTTTTTGGCGTGCTTGCCTTTTCGGCGTCCACTGCGTCCAAGACGGCCCAAGAGGCACCCAAGCCGGTCGAGGATGCCCCCAAGAGGGCCCCAAGACGGCCCACGAGGGGGCCAAGACGGCCCACGAGGCGCCCAAACCGCCCAAGAACGCCCCAAGGCGGCGCCCAAGACGGGGACGAGGAACCGGAAATTCCAGCCTTTTGGCCCAAGAGACCCCCAGGAGACCCCAAGAGGCTCCAAGAAGGGGCCCAGAAGCCCCAAGAGGCCCCTTATGAGACCCGAGAAAACACCAAAAGAGGTTCCGAAGACGCCCGAAGAGGCACCCCGAGAGAGGCCCAATAAGCAAAAATCGTCGATTTCCTATGGGGAAACTTTGTTTTTGGCGTGCTTGCCTTTTCGGCGTCCACTGCGTCCAAGACGGCCCAAGAGGCACCCAAGCCGGTCGAGGATGCCCCCAAGAGGGCCCCAAGACGGCCCACGAGGGGGCCAAGACGGCCCACGAGGCGCCCAAACCGCCCAAGAACGCCCCAAGGCGGCGCCCAAGACGGGGACGAGGAACCGGAATTCCAGCCTTTTGGCCCAAGAGACCCCCAGGAGACCCCAAGAGGCTCCAAGAAGGGGCCCAGAAGCCCCAAGAGGCCCCTTATGAGACCCGAGAAAACACCAAAAGAGGCCTCGAAGACGCCCCAAGAGGCACCCCGAGAGAGGCCCAATAAGCAAAAATCGTCGATTTCCGATGGGGGAACCTATATTTTCGGCGTGTTTGCTTTTTGGGCGCCCACTGCGTCCAAGACGGCCCAAGAGGCACCCAAGCCGGTCACCATTCAATGAGCCACAATCGCGTTCCCCCTTTTTTCCCAACCCTCCTTGGTTGGGTATTCGTTTTGAATAGAGCAGTGTGGTCGCGTCTCCTCCCGCCTCCCTCCTGCCTCCTGCCTGCCTCCTCCTGTCTTGCCTGCGGGGGGCTGCGATCTGCGAAACTGTCGCAATTTTCGAGGCCTGCTGGGGGGCCCAGCACAGTGAGGGCCACGGGCGGACCCAAATTAGACCTCGCCATCCCTGGGGGGCTGCGATCTGTGAAACTGTCGCCATTTTCGAGCCCTGCTGGGGGGCCAGCACAGTGAGGGCCACGGGCGGACCCAAATTAGACCTCGCCATCCCTGGGGAGCTGCGATCTGTGAAACTGTCGCCACTTTCGAGGCCTGCTGGGGGGCCCAGCACAGTGAGGGCCACGGGCGGACCCAAATTAGACCTCGCCATCCCTGGGGGGCTGCGATCTGTGAAACTGTCGCCACTTTCGAGGCCTGCTGGGGGGCCCAGCACAGTGAGGGCCACGGGCGGACCCAAATTAGACCTCGCCATCCCTGGGGGGCTGCGATCTGTGAAACTGTCGCCATTTTCGAGCCCTGCTGGGGGGCCCAGCACAGTGACGTCCACGGGCGGATCCAAATTAGACCTCGCCATCCCTGGGGGGCTGCGATCTGTGATACTGTCGCCACTTCCGAGGCCTGCTGGGGGGCCCAGCACAGTGAGGGCCACGGGCGGACCCAAATTAGACCTCGCCATCCCTGGGGGGCTGCGATCTGTGAAACTGTCGCCACTTTCGAGGCCTGCTGGGGGGCCCAGCACAGTGAGGGCCACGGGCAGATTCAAATTAGACCTCGCCATCCCTGGGGGGCTGCGATCTGTGAAACTGTCGCCACTTTCGAGGCCTGCTGGTGGGCCCAGCACAGTGAGGGCCACAGGCAGATTCAAATTAGACTTCGCCATTCCTGGGGGGCTGCGATCTGTGAAACTGTCGCCACTTTCGAGGCCTGCTGGGGGGCCCAGCACAGTGAGGGCCACGGGCAGATTCAAGTTAGATCTCGCCATCGCTGGGGGGGGCTGCGATCTGTGAAACTGTCGCCACTTTCGAGGCCTGCTTGGCGGGCCCAGCACAGTGACGCCACGCGCGGACCCAAATTAGACCTCGCCATCCCTGGGGGGCTGCGATCTGAGATCTCCGCTTTCGAAGTGGCTAGGGTTGCTCAGGGATTGCAACTAATCAGCTTTATCTAGTCCTTGTCCTGAAGCCAGTTTCCTGCGAGTCTCCCGAATTCCGTCTGCAGACATATGTAACCCTTGCTCCGTCATCGCCCCCCGTATAAAGTGTCCTAAACTATTTGCGCCCCGCGTTTGCGCAGGGGTTGGGTACGTCGCCAGGGTAATTATTATTATGGGAAACGCGATTGTGGCTCAGAAGGTGTTGTTTTGAAGAACATCGCGTTTCCCATAATTCGGAATTCCGAGAATTCAGATTCTGAATTATGGGAAACGCATTTTTTGTCGTCGCTTAAAAATTACCCTGCGACGTACCCAACCCACGTGCATCAAACGGCAAGAGGAGTATGCCAACATTAGCAGGAACAACGACAGTGTAGACGCGGCGATTTGCTGTGCAAGCTACATGGGATGCGCATGCGTTGCACGATTCACAGGACGACGATCGAAAGAACGAGGCTTGAGGCCCCAGGATCGAAGAAGAACGGGTACGGGAACGAGGGGTAGGAGAGGGATGGAATGGAGGGCGGGGGGGGCGAAAGGCCATCGCGGAAGCAGCAGCATGCATGGAGAAGGTGAGGCGGGGAATAGGACGACGATGAAAGTGGCGGGAGGAGACAGAAGACTGCCGCGTTTTTCAAGTGCGAGCTACACCCGCAGCGCTGCCTGCGCCATGTCGTCGCAGAGTTCCACATGATAAAACTTGTTTAGAGTGCAAGGAACGAGCGAGGCGTAGCTCGCCCGCTAGCTTCTCCGCCTCCTTCCCGCACATTTCAGCGCGGGAGCTGAACGCTCGCAGGCGCGCCGCCAGGTCTGCGGGCGGCCCGCGGGAAAGAAACTCAAGGCCGGGGTCGCGTATCATCAATCGGTTGTCCATCGTCCAAAGTTGCACTGGCGACGTACTGGTTGAACGCGGAGCGAGCAGCATCACGCGCGTGCCTGAACGCCACGCAGGTACAGTGCACGCGCGATTGGGACTTCAGGTCGATCACGCGCGTCTCCACCAGGCTTGGCAACACCACGCGACTGAGGATCTCACTGCGGTCTGCCATGCTGCTGTCCGCGAATGCAATGCGCTGCCTGCAAGTAAGGCGGCGGCGTCCACTTGTCTCAGAAGATGTTCCCGCGGGCCCGAAGGGCGACCGCCAGCTCGAGCCGCGGCGCCGGCAGGCCAGATAAGGATCATGCAACAGCAAAGACGATGACAGAGCAACGAGGTATCGGCGAGTGCATGACCGGCCTCCGTTTCCTGCACTTCTTTCCTGTAGTTCCCCTAGCTCATCGAGCTCAGCAGATGTTTCTGCGGGTCCGAAGGACGACCGCCAGCTCGAGTCGCAGCGCCACGTGGCACGAACCGCAGAGCAAGGGCACGCGAGCATTGCTCGTGGTCAGAATCTGAGTCCCCGTGGTGCCTCACTCCGCTGGCCACCCACCAGCAGCCCTCGAAAGTGGCGACAGTTTCACAGATCGCAGCCGCCCAGGGGTGGCGAGGTCTAATCTGAGTCCCCGTGGTGCCTCACTCCGCTGGACCCACCAGCAGCCTCGAAAGTGGCGACAGTTTCACACAGGGATGGCGAGGTCTAATCTGAGTCCCCGTGGTGCCTCACTCCGCTGGACCCACCAGCAACCCTCGAAAGTGGCGACAGTTTCACAGATCGCAGCCCCCCAGAGATGGCGAGGTCTAATCTGAGTCCCCGTGGTGCCTCACTCCGCTGGACCCACCAGCAGCCCTCGAAAGTGGCGACAGTTTCACAGATCGCAGCCCCCCAGAGATGGCGAGGTCTAATCTGAGTCCCCGTGGTGCCTCACTCCGCTGGACCCACCAGCAGCCCTCGAAAGTGGTGACAGTTTCACAGATCGCAGCCCCCCCCAGAGATGGCGAGGTCTAATCTGAGTCCCCGTGGTGCCTCACTCCGCTGGACCCACCAGCAGCCCTCGAAAGTGGCGACAGTTTCACAGATCGCAGCCCCCCCCCCCCCCGGGATGGCGAGGTCTAATCTGAGTCCCCGTGGTGCCTCACTCCGCTGGACCCACCAGCAGCCCTCGAAAGTGGTGACAGTTCCGCAGATCGCAGCCCCCCAGAGATGACGTAAAAGGCAAGAGAAGAAGAGAAGAGAAGAGGAGGAGCGAAGAGAGGCGGAGAAGGGAAGCAAGAGAGGAGAGGAAGAGGGAAGAGAG